AAGTCGAGGACAATCTCACTGGTGGCGGTTGCACTCCCGGCCGGCGGTAGGAGAGATGAAGGCTAATGTACTTGGCGGTGCCTTCCGGCGTGATGATCCTGCATGAACAGTGCCCCGGGACGAAAGAGGAGGCGACGTCTCTCTCGTCCACGAGCGCCTCGATGTGCGCATCGACGGTGTAACCTGCTTTGAGAGACGGGAACGAACGGCGGTGAATCGCCGACAGCGGCGCCTTCGTTCCTACCACCACTGCCACCACCGCCAGCTCCGCCGTGGACCTTGCCGGGCCCTCTGATGATTGTAGTACCGTGGAGCAGCTCGTCCGAGCCGTTGTTGTACTCTGCTGTGGCGCCAGCTCGGTGTACAATACGGACGAAGACGGCCACAGCAACGGTGTTACCAGCGCGAGCATACAGGCAGCGCGAAGCCGCGTGCTCGTTGGCGCGCCCGCCGAAATCCTGGGCCTCGAGTTCTTTGGCGTAGGGGACCCAAAACCCTGCGGCCGGCCATTACTTTCGCTGCTTTCGAATTCATAGCTCTTTCGCACGCCTTTATCCGTCACTCCCCCGAAGACCAGTCTTTATTGAGCTTGAGTTGGAGTGTGTTGATTTATGCACAAATCTGTGTGTTGCGAGCGCTAGATGGCGAAATTTTCTTCGCCTCCGGCGGGGCCGCTCGCCGCGGGGCAGAGAGGGACTTTTGTCGATGTCGGCTAGAAATGCTGCACCTTTTTGAGAATTTCACCCCCCGCCCCCCCTGGCCCCCCCCCCCCCACCCCACGCAGATCTCGCGCGCTACGGCTCTACGCCGCCATCGTCTCGATGCTCGTAGTCGAAACTGGACGCGGTTTGGTCTGGACCACGGCCATTTGCGCGCCTCCGCTGTGCGCCATCACGACGGGCCGACTACGCGTGCCCCTTATCCCAAGCCTTATCCACGTTCGGGCGAGCGCGCGGCCGACGACGACGGCCAAGACCACAGCGGCCGCCCCGCACCCGATGCCCACTGCGACCGCGAACGTACTCGAGCTTCCGTCGTCGGCGGAGGGCGGCGGCGGAGAACGGACCGGCGGCATCACTGGCGGCAATGTCGAGCACGCAAAGGAGCGGGGCCCCGAGCAGCGCGAGCTTTTCCACTGCCACTCGCCATTCTCGTACACCTCTGTGCACACATGCGTCTGTTCTTCGGAAGGACTGCCGGGCAGCCAGTTGGTGAAGTTCAACGGTGTGCCATCGACCCACTCGAACTCATTGGATTTCTCCGACCGGTGCAGTCCGAGCCAGAAGTGGACGCGCCAGCTTCTGTTATGCGACGCGAAGACGGCCTCGAGCGACTCCTGGTCTGCGGCGCTGCGAACGATAGCGAGGCTGTAGCCGAGGCGCTCGCAGTGTAACCGCGCGCTGTCCCACCCCATGACGGGAAGGGGCACGTCTGGGGATGGAGACTTCATGTCCAGTGAGAGGATGTATCCTTTCATGATCGGATGCCGCCGCGCCTTGCGAGCGCCGTTCCCACGTATGCGGGTGTGTATTCTTTTTGGAGCGAGTGACGGATAAAGTCGTGTGAAAGAGCTGTGAATGCGAAAGTAGCGAAATTAATTGCCCGCCGCAGGCGAGGAAAATTTTCAGGGTTTTTGGTCCCCTACGCCGAAGAAATCGAAGATCTCGGCGGGCGCGCGGAGGACGCGCCAACGAGGCATGCCTGCAGCATCCAAACGAGGCGCACGGCGTCGCTCAGCCGTGTCCACGCGGCTTCGCTCCTGTCCTAACCGGCGCCATCTGGGCGGCTGCTGCGGAGCTGCTGCCGGCGGTGCGACAACTGGCCGACAGATACGACGCTCAGGGCACCCGTCGGCGATCCACCGGGAAAGGAACATCGCCACGTGATGGTGGTGAGCTCGGTCGAAGGTGGTGGGCCAAAAACGCGAGTAGGTACGGCCGCGCGAGTGTGCAATTCTTTTTAGACGGACTCTTTTTTTAGACCATCCAGGAAGGAGGAACCGATCTCGCTAACGATCTCGTTTATGGCGCCGAGTTTGCGACACAAGTGCAAGGAAAGGTCTGATTTTGCTGTCGAGTCACACGATGGGGGATGCCCCCTTTGCCACCGCGCTGGGCTTAGAGACCTCAGCATCCGGCATGGCGTCCTTTGCGAGTGGCTGGGGCACGTCTGCTTCTGGCCGCTACTCTGTCGCGACGGGGGCCGATGCCGTCGCATCCGGCCTTGCCGCTTCGGCGCTGGGCTTCATGACCAAGGCGGAGAGCCAGGCTGAGACGGTGGTCGGGCGTTACAATGCTCTCGCCAGCTCACCCTCTGCGGGCTCTTGGGTTGACACGGACGCCGTCTTCCGCATCGGCATTGGTGTCTCCAACGACAACCGCAGGGACGCGCTCACAGTATACAAAAACGGCACCGTCGTCATCGGCGGCGACATCATCGCCACCAACTTCGTCTCGCCCCCGTCGCCGCCGCTCTCGCCCCTCTCGCCGGCGCCTCCTAGCTGCTGCCCCTCAACTACGGATGCCGAGGAGAGGGTCGGTATCCTCGAGCAGAAGCTAGCGGCCCTTGAGTCGGCGCACGCTGAAGAGCGTGCGGCAACGGAGAAGAAGCTTGCCGTGCTCGAGGCGTCGGTGGCGGCGCTCCTGCATGGGGACGGCACAAGTGCGGCCGTACCAGGGCGGTGTGGGCAGGCCACCGATGTCGACGCCATCGCCTCTGCGGCTACCGCGCTCTCGCTTGACGACACCGTGGGGAATCACACCGATGACTTTGCCGAGCGGCGATGCGGTTCGGCACTCTAGTTGTGGAGGAGGAGGGCGGGCGGCGCCGAGCGGCCGGCGTATTTTCCGGCCAGGTCGACGAGGGTGAAGGCGTCGATGAGCAGCAAGCCGCCCGTGGGCAACGCCAGGGCCACGGCGGGTCCTGGCGACCTCGTTCGAGGGAGGCCGGGGTGGCCAGGGCCATTATTGCGATTCTGCGTAGCTTGTCCTTGGGGGTGTTTTGAATCTCGTGTGTCGAGGTTCGTATTCGTTGTCGTGTCATAGGAGAGGAGAGAGTGGAGATGTTTTGTGCGGGAAGGCGCCGCTGTCGGCGATTCACCGCCGCTCGTTCCCGTCTCTTAAAGCTGGCTACACCGTCGAGATGCGCACATCGAGGCGCTCGTGGACGAGGGAGACGTCGCCTCCTCTTTCGTACCGGGGCACTGTTCGCGCCGGAAGGCACCGCGCACTGCCAAGTACATTAGCCTTCATCTCTCCTACCGCCGGCCGGGAGGGCAGCCTTCGCCATCGCTGAGTGAGATTGTCCTCGACACGTTGGCACCTGCGAAGTAATGAACAACATGCAGTACGTCATATGGCGCTATGACAGCCCTGCGATGGGCGTCCTCGACGCAGACGAGGCGGAGCTCATCTGCGCGGCGCAGATCGCCGACTTTCTCTCTCTCCCTGCGCGAGTGGTTGCGCCACCGTGGATGAGGCATATGGGCTGGGCAGGGGAGTTGGTAGAGCCGTAGAGGAGGTTGACTGAGGGCGCGAGGCCGCCAATCGTCACAGTCTGCTGCTGACTGTCGGTCGCTGACTGGTTGCGCATCGCGCTGGCCGCGCAGCGGCCTTTAGAAAATTTTGGCCGCAGGCCTAGTTTTGGAGAATCTTAGTTTTGGAGAAGATCAAATAATGAGCGCCGGTGAGGCTTTGAGAAGCTGCCGTTTGCGGCTTCCTAAGTCAATTTTTCGAGAGGAACGTTTTGGCTTAGCTATAACGGCTCCAAAGTCGCGCGATCATCGAGTTTTGAGTCAATAATTATGAAAGGAAGGGGCTGGCGAGAATTATAGCTAAGCCAATCGATTCAGCGTGCTCTGAAACGCCCAAAACCGTCGAGTTTTTCGCGGTAGGCAAAATAGAGCCCTTAATATTTGATCTTTCTTGGCCACGGCCACGATTACCCGTCACTCGCTCTTTGCTTGGCCGTACATCAGGACGGGGTAGGTAGGGTAGGTCTGGGCCCTCCCGTCGGGTTTTCCCCTCTCTTCACGCTGGAAATTTCACAGCAGAAAAAGAAATTTTCCGCGGAAATCACGATGTCAACCCTCCCCAAATGGGTGATCTGATGCTTGTAGGGCTTGAGAGTGGCCTGCCATGTCACAAGAAGGATTGTGGTTGCAGGAGAGTACCACCAACCATCACTCTAGTTGGCATAGTACCCCACCTTCACCCAACCCGTGATTTCTTTTTTAGTTTCCCATAAGTAAGGTAGGTAGGTAGGTAGGTAGGTAGGGGCACCGCAGGGGCCGGCCAGGTTTTTGCAGAATTTCGTACGGCCAAGCAAAAAGAATACACACCTGCCGTGTGTGTGGAGGGGGAGTGTGGTGATGTTGGGAGTGTGAACGCCCTCCTCATGAATAGATAGAGAGAGAGAGAGGGAGAGACGTCTCTATCCTAGCGAGATGTCTGTGTGAACAGGGACATGTGCGGGACGTGTCAGGCCGGCTTGCTTATTGCTCTGTTTGTCGGACGTCCGCTCAACCGCGGCTTGGCTGATGTAGTCTTGCTTGTATCGTTCCTGTACGCCTCGGTACAGACCCTCGCTCCGTGTACAGCTCTGAGCTCACTACAGGTGAGTGTGACTCACTCACACTGCGTTGTCCTTTCCGCTTCCGCAACGAAAACCTTCCGCTACGCTACATGGGCGGCCGCGTCAGCGGCCGGAGAGGCCGGAGAGCCATCCGACGGAGGCCGGTCGTGCATCGGCGCGTCAGCCGCAGGGTCGGGGGGGCGGCGGCACCCATCGCTGCGGGTCGCTGCGGGCCGACGGTTGTGGACTGATCGATCGTGCCGGGCGGATTTCGGCTGGGACGTTCTACGTTAAAAGAACGTCGGCGCGAAACGCATCTGAGTAAGAAGGACATTTCGGCGGGGGCGGCGCGGGCTTCATCGCGTCTCACGTCGTCATCGGCCTGGTGGAGAAGTACCCACAGTACAAGGTGTGCTCAGCCCGCGCCCGGATGCCCTGTCGCCGGCGCGGCTCGGCACCACCCGACGGGCGCGTGGGCGCTCTCCCGGCGGCGGCGCAGGTGGTGTGTCTGGACAAGATGGACTACTGCAGCAGCTTGCACAACCTCGACCAGGTCAAGGACAAGCCAAACTTCAGGATGGTCAAGGGGAATCTGCTCTCTGCGGACCTGATGAACTACGTCCTCGAGACCGAGCAGATCGACACCATCATCCATGCCGCCGCGCAGGCTGCCCTCCCCATCCCCTAATCTACCCGCCACGCCCGCCACACTGCGCCCCTCGCAGCGGGCGGCTCACTCGCTCACGCGCGCGCGCGCGCACGGCGCGCCCACTTGGCAGACGCACGTGGACAACTCGTTTGGCAACTCGTTCGCCTTCACGGAGAACAACGTCCTCGGCACGCACGTCCTCGTGGAGGCTGCGAAGAAGGCTGGCATCCGCCGCTTCATCCACGTATCGACCGACGAGGTGTACGGCTCCTCCTACTCCGAGGAGCCGAGCCGTAAGGAGGGGGACGTGCTCGAGCCGACCAACCCGTACGCGGCGACCAAGGCGGCCGCCGAGAACATCGCGCGATCGTACTGGCGCACTCCGCCCCGCCGCCGCGCGAGCCCCCCCCCCCCCCCCCGGCAAGCGCCCGCCCCGTTATCCGGCTCGTGGCGTTTTTCTTCTTGCCGGCGGGGGCCTGCGTGTGTGCGGATGTCTCATCGGTGCGCGTCCGCCCCCTGGTCTGTTTGCGTTCTGAGTGTC